TATCACAACTTTTAGCTGAGCTTTTGAACTATTAATCATGACTTTCAGCTACATATTTCAACCATTTACCATTAGCCAGCCACTTTAGAGTTCTCGGTTGGCTTTCTAACTGACTCTGATTGGTTGAGCTGCAGTCTTTCCGCGTACCCTTGCGTGGAAACTGGTTGGGAATCATTGCTGTAGGACAGTCGAGCATAAACAGAGAACATGGTCGGTAATTTTCTCTTTCTTTGAGGTTCCAAATGAAACAGGGTGTGTGGATACAGGAAAATATTATCTGTTGTTAATGTTGCAAAGCAGCCATTCTTAAGTGTTGATGCTCTACTCAGCAGGAAGAGCCAATCTCCCCAAACCACACATGCCGCCCACTAATCAAACCAATGGCACGCTGTTATAATACAGTGACAGGATAGAGCTGTAAGCCACCCAGTGATACAACCAACACACAAGACGCCTAATGTCCTGCTGAGTAATAGCAATATCTTCACTTTATTATTACAGGGGAACCTCAAAAGGGGGTTTCTGGATTGTTCTGCTCCCCACCTGTCAGGGGTGACGTTTAGACAAGTGTTGGGGTCTGGGGAGCACTTCCTCTCTGAGAAGCTGCCCACTCTCTCTCCCTCTGCTACATCTGGTCTCCTCCGGGCCGTTGCTGGCGGCGGTTGAGGGCAGAGCAACCGCAGAAGGCTTTGTCCTCATTGAGGAGCAGCTGAACCAACAGGAAAGCCAATCCCAGCCAGTCAATTAATTGATGGAACAATTTAAAATTATGGGAGGTTCTCAGCAGGGGGAAGGAAAATGTTTACAAATGATGTGCAATAATTGCTCGTTACGTTCCCTTTTGGATTCCCCCTGCCCTCCCCCATTTTATTTTTTCTGGTCCTTTGCCACCATTTGTTTTCTTTCACGTCTTGTTAAAGCAAAATGTGGAAATGTTAGCTCAAAAGCGCATGTCCATGATGGGCCACTAGAGTCAACAGTTCACCACATGCAGCCAATCACTGTGTATTTACAATGTATCCTGTCTGAACACCCAGATGAACCCAAATCACTTCCATACAGCCACTCTGTAAAAATGGCTCTGACTGAGACCACATGAATGTACCAAGCGCCAGCTCAGACCACATTAAAACGGTCTTGATCATCAGGTCCTGTGCCTCCACAGCCCCATCTGCGCCCAGCTGTGGGGGTTTCTTCTTCAATTATCTGACATCCAAAGACCCCCGTCTGGAGACTACAGTGAGACCACGCTGCATTGAAAAAGCGGGGACTCGCACTAAAAAGGAGGGACCTAAGCCTTTCACTCAAAGCCACACAGTGGGCCAGTGTGAAACCCCCCAGCCTTTGTTGCATCTTCAAAATAAGTCTGTTTAATTCTCAAGCAGCATCTGTGTCCATTCAGCTGTCAGTCATCTTACAAGGGAAAGGAGCAAGGATATTTTTGCAACTATTGAATCAAAAATAATAGTGCTGGCCCTTTTATATAGGATAATCAAGCTGCAGCGCCCTCAAATCCCGTTGATTTGCACCCGCAGCTAATTAAAATAGAAAGACGCACAACTACCTACAGGGAGTGCATCAGACAGAAAGAGAATCAGTGAGCGCAGAGGAAGCTCAGTTAGTAAGGGTGGGAGTGAAATATGCTTTGGACTCCATCTGAGGGGGAAGAAGCTTACAGTCGGAAAGAACAGGAGTGACTCAGAGAGGAAGAGGTGGGAATGCGAATGGAGAATTCAAGGGAATCCCACTGAGATAGCTCTCTTCGCTAGTCTGCGCCGCGCCAAAGAATTCAGATGAGCAAACCATATGCTTAACAAGTCACATGTAAACTCCTAGCTAGGACAAAAACGGCAATAAACGTCAAGGGTCTGAATCAGACCAGAAAATCAAACAAATGTCAGCTCGTTTATTCTCTTGCACGTCTTTCCGGGCAAAAGACTCATTCAAAGAGCAAAGACAGAACATCGTTGACTCTTACTTACTCTTCTGATCTGATTTGAGTCTCATTTCGCTTCTATACGATACGACAGCTGGTGACTCACAGTTTGTGGTGGATTGGAGGGATGCGTTTTCTTTTCTGCATAGTCTCAATCCTGTCGGGGGGAACTCTGTGACTTGGCATTCAGCTGTGTGTCATCAAATTTATGGTTGCACGGAAAGTGGTGCAAATTATACCATGAGCTATGTCAGCATGACAGAATTTAAGAATGATCAGACAAAGCAATGAGCCGTGCCTTAATGATGTAATTTATGACTCAGTGGATCGCGCGTGTTATGCCATTAGCTGTGTTTGTGTGTCACATAATTTAGGAGTGATCAGCTGTAGAGTATAATGGAAACCTGTCCCGTGTAGTCAAGGGGCAATTCTCACCCCAAGTGTTAGTTTTAGCAGCTTGCTTGCCATATTTTTCCAGTTTAATAGCTGGCAAACATATGCAACATCTGGTTCAAATGGACAGGGGGTTGTCAGCGAGGAGAGACGCCTACAGCACAAACAGCTACAGGCCTGTTTAAATGTAGCAACTCATCATTCACAACCTGCCTGGAAACAAATTCATCTGCAGCTATGTGTCAAAAAATCAGCTCGACTACAGATGACAACATGCAGCTACAATGTCGCAATGACGCTCTCTGGGTCCATTACTCCCTATGCAGCAATCTAATCAGCCTAGTATACACAGCTGTGCAGTACTTAACAAAGAAACACATAATGACAGTGTGTAGCGTAGCCTCTCTGCTCGGGCTTTACCACCAGACGGCCGCCTTCCTATAGAGCTTCCTCTTCTGCGCTGAGCCGTGCATTGCAATGCTCTCCGCGCGGGAGAGCAACAGATAAGGGAGCAGTGAGCTCGGCTACGGGACAGGGCTGACCATGTGGATGACATGGCACAATATTACATAATATGGAAAGACATTTGCCCTGATGAGTGATTGCTAGTGATGCTGACAAAAAAAGCCCCTGAAAGAAACACAGACAGAGAGTCATTGTGCAGTTTTTAGATGAGCAAAAACACATTTTATGGAGTGATGTTATTATTCTTTGAGAGGGATGAGGTTTGGTCTGGAGGGGTGTGCAGTATCACTCAGCATCAAGGGGAGAGGTGGTCAGTGAGGTCCGACACTCGTTTTTTTCTCACATTCTTAGCATTCCTCCAGGAGACCACTGCGGTCCACCTCAACCTGCAGTGACAAACTAACGGACTCTAGATTGCAACATGAAAGCTGTCTATACACATTTGTTGAGGGGACATGTCTCTGAGGGACATCACTGAATGATGGAGCAAGATAACCTAACAAGTCCCGGCAACAGGGTACCAAGTGTACTCGATGGCGGGTGAACTGAGAACATTTACCAGCCAAACATTTTTATTTATTTATTTTTTTTCCAAACCAGCCATAAAACTGCATCATGCATTATTTGACAAACAAACATCACCTCGTTTCAGAATCACTCGAGGTTCATATTTTAGTGAGGATCCCGGGTCTTCAGATGATTCAGAAGATGTACCTGCATTCAGCGCTTGCGGGGTGTTAAGTTTTGAACCCTGCCCGGCAAGTAGGAAATTTGATGCAGTGTCAGAAACTAGCAATTCTCATGCTACGTGAATAAGGAAAAGACCAATAACTGGTCCACATCACAATACCACCATAACTACAATAAAAGGTTCACGATAAACGTTACTAATTAAAATGCTGACTAATATTTAATATAGAATTTATCAGTAACCTAGACGTGCTTGATTTCAAACCTATGCTGATACAGTGTATATCATTGTATGGATCCTGGGTATTTCTGTATAAAACTCTCCTCATTACGCAGTGAACCCTGAACGACTTCTGACAACTACAAAAAAAAAATTTGCTCAGAGCTTGATGTCCTTGGCCATCTTACACCTCCAGCTCATTAAATCCATCTCACTACAATCCCTCCCTGTTGTCTCCACTTATATTCCTATCAGAAGCAGCACCAGCTCAAATATTTAATTTGGCTCCTTCCTGATAGAAAAGACCGCCATGGAATTTGATTCAGGTCAGATGCTGGGACGTGGATCAAAAGAGGGGCAGCTGTCGGCCACTTCTCCCAGTCAAAACAGTGTGCTCTCATGTAAACCCCCTTCTTTTTTTTTTTTTTTTTTGCCTGTTTGTGTTGAAAAGGCACAAAGCAAACAGCTGAGGGAAAGAGGAAGGGAGATATCCAAACAACAAATGACTCTGTCTAAAAAGCCCCAGCTTCGAGTGTGGACCATGCTGTAGAGGTACTGTGAGCTGGATGCAGTTGTGTAGTGCAGGGACACAACTTAATGGTGATCTGTTTAAGCAACAATGGCAGTCCACACAGGCAGCTGTCTGTCAGTAGGCAGTTATGGGACACTGCTCCCTTGCTGCAGACTCTTGTGACCTGTGGAGCTGCCTGTCAACCTCAACCGAGGCTTGTTCTTCCATAAAGGCTTGATTATAGCTAGCTGGCAGGCTGTCTGGCTAGGCTAACGCCAGCTAGCCAACTTTCTGTGAGCCTGTGTGTGATCAGCACAGTGTGATAGTTGGGTGGCATTCCTACACTGTAATTATTGATAAATATTAAACAGACAGGGCTGAAATCTGCCCAGATATTTAGCTTCATCGAGCGACAGCCAACTCAAGGACAGAGCAACACAATATATAGCAGCGATACTCCGGGACCCGTGTTATGGCTGGTGGTGGTGGTTCCTGGCGACAATCACAAGGTTGAGACTATTTCCAAGAACAATAATATCCACATTCAGCGCCACCTACATGCCCACTCGGTCAGGTTTTTTAAAAAAAACAACAGCCAGCACAGTGAAAACGACTAACACTTTAAAATGTATTGTAGCTTTAAAGAGAGCCGTGGTGAAAGAACCGGCGCTAAGCCAACTCCATGGCCCATGGGAGCTGTTCCCATCCAGCAAATACACCGAGCCTTCCTAGCTAGTGTGTAGGGGGGAGTATAGTTGGGGGATTTAAAAAGCATTGCTAGCTACCTGTTAGTCGCAGCTTCACAGGGCCATTCCGCCGGACTCCTTGGTTAGACATCTCCTCTCGGGTCCAGCCTTCACTGCACGTAGTAAAAATGTGTTGTTAAATGTTTAAAAAAAAAAAAAAAAAAACCCCAACAAGGTTTATCAACCTCTCCGCCAGTTTTAGACAATAATGGAGTCAAGGCATTGTGGCCCGGATGTGAACTGAACTGCCATAGCGATCGCTCACAAACGCTTCAATTTATTTATTTATTTATTTTTAAAAAAAGCAAAGCGCGAGTGTGGCACTGCTGCAAAGTGCATTTACTACAAAAAGCTCTTCTGGCTGCTGGGGACGTGTAAAACGAGCTGCTACGGAGTCGCGGCGCCGCTGTTTGTCTTCACATCTTCGGAAGGAGCCTGTGCCTCGGACCGGGTCCTCCTCTCCGCTGCTCGTCGGGAGTTGAACTGTTGAGCCCTCCGGTGGAGATCCCACTTCAGGAGGCTGCTGCTGCCGCTCGGAGGAGACTGGGGGCGGGGGTGGGGGGGGGGAGTGACACGCACAACATGAGGACTATTTTGTGACTCCGACCAACCATTCAGTTAAAGCAGAAGCAGGATGTAATACTGTATTGTGAAAATGAAAACCAGATCATTCATATTATTTAATGTCAGTAGGGAAATATCACATCCAGAAAGCTAAAGTTCAAATGGGTTTTTTAAACATTTTTTTTTTTTTACGTATGCTACCAGATATTTTAAAACAGAAATATGAATGTGATCTTTTTTGCCTACTTTTCTATTAAGTTACTCCTTTAATCCTCATATATTTATTTATTATTACTATTATTTTTTTTCATTTATTCTAATTTGTATGTTATTTCTTTCTTTGTATATACTGTACCTGAAGCCTGTCCTGCTACTATGTTGAATGTGTAGTCCTGCTGAGCCATGTTCTGTTATATTATCCTTTTCATTATGTCTTAATGGTCTACACTTTTGACTTATGTCTGCTAAAATTGACAATAAAGTTTTTTAAAAGAGTTGAAAAACACACACACCAGCTCCTGAATGTACAAGTTTCTTTTGTATTTTGAAATGATGTAAACTTGTGCTTCGACCATGACAAGAAACATCCACTACAAGAATCCAGACCCAAAAAAAAATTCACAAAAGAACAAAAGCAGGCCCTAGAGATAGGTCGTCACAGACAGACCCGGCTGCCCAGGAAAGCCTGTGTACACACTGAAAACAGTGGAGACGGAGACATATATGTTTTTGTTACACTGCCACAAATATGCGGAAATTAGAGCATTATTCTTCCAACAAATATCTAGTAGGTGAAAAACAAAACTGCTGCATACTGTCACTGTCCCTTCATGCCAATAAAGCTCATTCCATTTACATTAACACCTCCCTGTAATTCACACACAGGTCTCAGTGGGTCCCTGAGTTGATGATGAGCTGTCCCGGTTTTTACTTTGATGGTAAACACATCTACCTGTGTTTGTGACAATTTATGACTTTTTACATGGGCGTAACCACCGTGTATCAGATCTGGGCCCTCTTCCGCCACCACTATTAAAGTAGTGTGTTCTTCATAGTTTTATTACGAAGAAATAAAGTAATATAATAGTATGGTCCCTCTCCTTTTGATGGACCACCACAGGACCTTATTCTAGAAATAGAAAAATACATTGTTTATTTTGATTAACTATTAATCAATTTTACTGTGTAAAACTTTTATATATAAATATATATACTGTATGTATACATGAGTAGCACAAAAGGAACTACGATACATTTCATTACACAACCTTATGTTGTAAAATGACAATTAAACAACCTTGTATTAGAAGTTTGTCAGTTCAAAATATAATTTTACAAGTCAAGAAAGTTGTAGTTTGTTGTAAATGTAAAATATTATGTAATTGAAAAGATTCCACACACAAAAGAATTTTGCGTCATAGCTTTTACTTGCTACAAGCTAATGTTACCCAGAGCTGCTGACACTGCTGTGTTTCGTACCAGGATGTAGTCACACAAGCAATGGGTCTTGCTCGTCATCTTATACCGTTAAAAGAACCAGGAGTTGCTTGATAAGATACATAAAGATAACAGATAATGTGATGGCCACAATTTAAACAGGATCAAAACAATATTTGCTGCTTGCTGTGGACTACTGTACATACATTTTCTGAAATAAGGTTGCAAGGGGACATTAGAAGGGGAGGGACTTCGCCTCCCGATAGGTCTTTTTCACCGCAGTTAATAGAAGGAAAAGCACAGGTGTTACTATTAACATTAACAATGGCCCCGTAAGTCTTGACAGCCAGAATGCAGGACCCTGAAACTAAAGCAGCTAAACAGAGTTCAGCCACTAGAATTGTTTTTACATGTGCTTTTTTTCCTCCCTCTTCTTTCACAAAGACATATCAAAATGTCTTCTGTGAAACATTTTCACATAAATGTCTATATAGTTGCTAGATTAACTTTCAAAGAAGTGATTTTAGATTGTGGCAGCACCCAGAACTGGACTGTACAGTTCTGGGGTGTCATTATTTTGGCATTTCTGGAGTAACCCTTTTAGCTACGTTGGCTGGCATGTACATTTGATTTTGTGCATTTACACAAGGCTAATCACAAAACACAAAGATTTAATCAAAACCTTACGTGACCATTTTAAAGATGATACTGTAGCTTGTTTACAAAGTAAATACAATTGATGGTGAAAAACTTATATAAACAAACCACACATGATACAACAACTTTATTTACAATCATGTTTTATCAGTTTTGTTAAAACAGTATGTACAATACATACAAAAACAAGAAAAGTCAACAATTACATGAACAAAAGGACAAACAAAGTAGCAGTGAGGGTACAGTAAAGTTGAGAGTAGAGGTAGTAGAAAGTTATCTAGAAATTGAAAGTGCTCTGGTTCTCATTGATTTGAAATGCATAACCATCATCGGTTGCTTCTGGGGCCACACACTCCACCTCCTCTTCCTTTAAAAAAAAAAACAAAAAACAAAAACCCAAAAACATTTATGAGGAAACATCACAGTAAGCCACCACTCAGGCATAAAAAAGTTGATTTAATAATCAGTTCAAATATATTTTAAGACACTTACATGTTCAGAGAAGTATTTGTCAATGAGGTTGAAGGCCGCTTTGTAGACCATCTCGTTCTCATGAGACTGCAGAGCCTCCAGCTTGTCCAGTCCACCGCATTCTTCAACCATTAGACTCAGCTTGTCTGACTCTCCAATCTTATCCCCAGCCTGAAGAGGAAAACATCAGTATTTTACAGCAAGCAGCAAAACTCATGACAGACAGGTCTATTTTTCCATGACAAGTCACTCACCATGAAGATATTGGTAATGGCATCCAAGATGACAAGGACGGTTTTGCTGTCCTTAGAGGAGAGTAGGGTCAGAAGAGGCTCAAGCACATTGGCTTGAACCAGGTAAACCACCTGCTGAATAGTGCCCCCACTGGTGAAGTTTGTAACAGCCCACACAGCCTCTTTCTGAGTTTTGTAGTCACCCTGCAGAGACATGACCAGAAGAGTTAGACCCAATGTAGGCATCTGTTTGACAGCAGTGTACTGGTAAAGCTGACGTGTTATTCTCCGACAGTCAAACAAATAACATACCCGCACAAGCATATCAACCATGTATGGAACAAGGCCTGCGTTGATGACCTCCTGGATTTGGGCATCCTTCCCTGCTGTGATGTTGGACAGAGTCCAGGCTGCCTCCTTCTGGATGTTGGGCTTTTTGTGGCGCAGCAGATGGGGGAACATGTTCAAGGCACCGGCATCCAGTACTGTCTGAGTCTGCTCATCTGTACCAGTCACAATGTTGCCGAGGGCACGCAGTGCAGGGGTCTGAAGAAAAGGAGAGAGGAGTCCTTTTAGAACTTGTGATAACCTAAAGAGTTACCTCAGGGTGATGGCACGGCCTCCCAGACTACAAGAACCAACAATCAACCTCATGTACATGGTGGACTAACAGAAAAACACAGAAAGTGAGACTTTATACTTACAATGACAGGCAGCGCATCAAAGCCAAGCAACTTCACCAGGCGAGGAATTACGCCAGTTTGGACCACCACCTCAATGCGGTCATTAGCACCGTCTGTCAGGTATGACACAGCCCAACACGCGTCGGCCAACACCTCTTGGTCATCACAGTGTAGTAAACGAATGAGAGTGGGTAAGATCTGTTGGATTGCTGCCATAGGAGGGGAAGGGTTCTTGTTGCGGCAGAGGTTTGACAGCGTCCATGTGACATTTCTCAGGTAGCCAGTCTGCAACAAAACACAACACAAGTATAAGAGAAGGCCAGGCCTTAGTTTGACACAGCAGTATTGGTTGAGTTAGGGCACCACCTAGTGGACAATAAGAGTAATGATTTAATTTGACCATGTCAAGAAAATTGCTATAAAAATGTTGTTACAATAGGTCACTAAAAGAAAATAAAAAACAAAAACAAAACCCAACAACTTGGTTTTCTATTACAAAGAACCCCCAAAAAAACCCACTTACATTAAATACAGACAGGTCAGGAACTGCCAGCAGACTGAGCAGTGGGGCCACAGCTCCATGCTTGATGACCCGGTCTCTAAGAGCTGATCCATCACCTAAAGACCAAAAGAAATAATATTAAAAAAAAAGAGAAAAAAAAAAGAAAACCCAAAGACGTGACATTTGCTTCTAACCCAATACTAATGACATACTATTGACAAAAATATTTTGTCAGTTACCAGCAATGTTTCCAAGGGCCCAGACCGCTTGCTCGCTGATGTGCTGGTGAGGGGATGTGACCAGCGCAATGAAGGCAGGAATGGCCCCGCCCTCAACAACAGCTGCTGTCTGATCAGTCGTCCCAGAGGCAATGTTGGTCAGAGCCCAGGAAGCCTCAAACTGGATTGGTGGACAGTCTATAAGCCCCAGGAAGGCGACAAACTTGGGGATCAGCCCAGCACTGATCATCTGGTCAATGGGAGGATGCTTGTCACGAGACAGCAGTTTCCTGTGATCAGGATAGTAAAGAGTGAGTCATGGTGGCGGTAACTGGTCATTGTGATTGTTTTGTACAGTTTAGGTGTACATTGTTCTTTGATGAATTGTTATTACCGTGCAGCCTGTGTAGCCTGGAGCTGGGACTCAGCATTACCGCTGTTCACTCCTGCAACAATCTCTTCAACTGTCCACTGTCGGGCGGCCTGCCCATTGACACACAAGAGGGGGGAAACATGAATTGAGTAACCTCAGACTCAAAGATTACCACAGAGCTGAAGAAAAAGATTTGTGGCTGTCTTGTGATAACTTCTTATAACTGTAAGGATTTGGCACTATACAAATTGAACTGGATGGATCATAGTGGTCTTGTCTGGATTCAAGCACCAGCAGATTGAACACTCAATTTGAATAATAGATTTAAAAGGCTTACCTGACAGTTCTGGGTTCTTTCCTGAAGAGGAGAAGTCGCCTCATCAGGAAATGCAGACACATTTCTTCTCTTGAAGATCTGATCATCTTTCTTGGCCTTACGCAGCTCGACGTTCACCTCCACTCTCCTGCGTCGAAGTTCCTGCATTTATTTATTCATGTAAAGACAAACCACATGTTTACAACAGCAACTCTTGCATAAGGATACAGATGTGAAGCAACTCGTCGCCGTATGAACTCACATTGGCGTCTTTGCCTTTGTTCTTGAACTTGTTCAGACGTGCGACGTTCTCAGAAGACATTTTCAAGTTGTCGGGAGGTTTAGCAGCAGTGAAAATAAAGCTGTGGTGTTATTTATATTGTGGTGTGTTTCCTGCACACAAATAAAAACAAAAGTCAGTCTAAGTTAACCTACTTCAAACTGCCTCGTGACAGCGAAGAGAAGGACATTCATGTCAAACTGCCAGCTAGTTCAACCCGGAAATACAGAAAGCAACACACCGAAAAATATGGAAATTATAATATTTCATAAAGAAAATGATATTCCTTTTCATAAAAATACATAAGCAGTTAACACGAACTTACCCGTTCGTCTTGCAAAGGATGTGGTACAGGGAGAGTGCCGCACAGACCTTTAAATTCCTGCAACAAAGCCTCCTGATTGGTCGGTTCGAGCAGGAGCATCCAGCCGCCTCCGTTCATTGGTCCGTTTAAAAGAAAATCACACACGGGAAGTGTCGTCACCGTAGAAACATCGCGAGATCTCAGCACGTTGCTAATATGATTTAAGTTACCGTTTAATCAGACTCTGGGTCAGTTTTCTGCCGTTGTTATGATTTGTCATTGGACGTGAGGGAGGGATGAACTGTTCCCGGATCGGTGAATTTCGGTTCTAGCGTCACGTACTCCACAGGGAAATAATGAACGAAATGTCGTATATCCACGCCTCAAATAAACAAACATGTGATAGATTTAAGTACATTTAAAGATATTTTCTCTTTCACTCCTTTTTATGAATCCAAAATGGATGCTAAACCTGTTTTTGAATGATAATAAAAACCCCACTGCCACTGAACTATTTATACTATTTCTATCATCATCACCATCACTGTTTACATTTATGATGTCCTATTTATTCTCCTGTACAGAACTTTGGTCAACTTTGGTTGTTTTTAAAGTGCTTAACAAATAAAGTTGGATTGGATTGGATTGGATATCTATCTAACTGAGAGAGCATTGTAAAGCACATTTAATATTTTACCAATTATTTATTTTATTGTAACTAATTAAATCAGTTTTAAAACGCTTTCTATATATTAGGTCTTGAGCTGCTATGTGTACACGTCTTACACTAAAACAAGTAAGATGTCAACAACGCTCTTACGTGCCACAAAAACACACTAGGAAGGAAGCAATCTTTTCCATTTTATTAAGTTCCATATACATCAATATTTCTTCAGATGTAATACAAAAAAAAGAAAAAGAAATCCAGTCAAAATCTGACAAATTTTTACAAACAGGGCAGGAACCTTCAAATACACTGTTTAATCCTTCTCAGTCAGTCACTACTGCAGAGCAATTCATTTACAATAGCTTATTACCGTACTTTCAGTAGGTTATAGAAGTTTAACCAAGCAGACTACTGGTGTCCAGATATTTAGTACAACTGTCTTTCATGCCACTTCGGACTAAACAATGAGTGGAAATGGGAGAAAAAAGTCCCACTGCGATATCTGAACTTAGACACAAAACTCTTGTTACGTTATGCTCAGTAAACTCTGCCACTGTATGCGAGTATTCAATTTCCTATTTCTCATTGGACATGATGACCACAAGAATGGCCTGAGGGATTTTTAACAAGAAGAAAAAAAAAACTCAATAAAAAGACTGAGATAAAAAAAAAGAACATGGAAATATGAGAGCTCCTTAAGAGTCTTTTCTCCGAGGTAAACGTTCTTCTGAAATGCCTCAGTTGTTCATGCTCCTCAGTACAGTCCCACTGATGACGACCAGGTCCAAAAAGGTCCCTTAGAGCTCAAATGGGCAGAAGGCAGCTCTGCCTGAACAGTTCTGTGAAAGCAGCAATGCTGGTTGCACCGACAGTCAGAGGAGCAGATCCCAAACACAGGATGAGGCAGAGGAGTCTGTCACAGAGTTACAGTTCAGAAAAGCCATATTCTTGGCAAGTGCATTTTGTCTGAGCAATGTGCGATGCTTTCTAAGAGGCCGAAGAACACTGTAGCTTGTTGTTATGAGACCTACAGAATGCGGAGAGAGGGGAAAGTTGAGAGGCCTTCGCATTTAGTTTATTTATTGTGACATCTCAACAGACAGACGTTGCAAAGGGGTCGGCAGAGGGTCGTGCAGCCATGTTGGTGTAATTTCCTAGGAATGCCTTTATTACTGATGCAATCTTCCACAACTACAAACTGAGGTTACTTTGTGAAGTGAGGAACAGGATGAGGTCAAATTCCTCACGCTTTGTAGTACATTTTTAGTTTCATAAAATAATACACAATCTAAAATGATTTGTTTCATAATTATTTAAAACATTCAAATACAGAGTCATATATATCTTACAACCACTGTACATGATAAAAAGTATGTACATTCAAGACAACCACCTTTAACAACCAGTTAAATCAAACTCAAAAAGGGATGTAACATACAAAACTTCTCTTAAATATCTCTCTATAATAAAATATGCAGCTTTATATATATTTTTTAACATGTGGTAAAGTCAACACATTATCCAATCCAACTCAGATGTATAAAAGAAAATAAATCCAAGGTAGGAACTACAATCCATTTAAAAATGCCACTGGAAACCTCCACTACTGTGATTTATGGTTAGAAAAGGCCAGATTAGACAAAGTGATGAGAAGAAAGCATGTCCCCCGATTACATGATCAACACATGTCAACATGGCTGCCATTCTGTGATTAAACTGAATATTATAAGGGTTACCGAAAATGCTGTATTGATGGAAATTACATGAAAGCACATTTGGTGTTTGTGTGTTCTTGTGGTGTTTTTTTTTTTCTTTAGTCATGGTTATTTTTGCTGTTCTGGAAATACAAAGTTTCCATGTCATTATTACTAGAGACCCCAGCATCCAGTCCAGACTCCAGCTAGACTGGCCCACTTAAGAATCTGACAATCTGCAAGAAAGAAGAAAATGGGATGGCATAAATCAAAGGCATGCAGCAAAGGTGAACAGACACAAATGCAAGATGAAACACGATACAGATGTAACATGGCACAAAGGTCTGTTAAGACATTGGACATAATGTCTTGAAGTTGGTCAGCTCTGTTGGATTTAGTACAGCCAAGCAATCCTTCAAAGCACTGACAGTTTAAAGCCAACTCTAGTCTACAAGTAAAGCACATTCTACTGCAAAGTAAGTACACATGCTAGTGGTATAAACAAAACTAAAACAAAAAAGAGTGAAGGGACAGGCATTAATGGATAAATTAAGAGAACAAATTAAACTGACGTGACAGCCGGTGTGGCCAGAGTCAAAGCTTTACGGCACACAAACATGAGCATGGAAAAGGAGAGGGAGAAACTTGGGGACCTTGAGAGACGGCAGCAGTAGGAGCACCTGACCTTACCTGCTCGCTTTGAAACCCTTAAGCTTCTGTACAAAGAAGGCTTCAAGCACCTCGGCACACTGAAAGAAGGGCGTGTCATTGGGGTTGTAATAGCGGCAGTTGTCGAAGATTTTGGTCACGTCGGCCACAAACTCTGTGAGCTTGTGGTAATGTCGCTTTTGCAAACGGGTTTCCATTGTGGAAAAGTCTACAAGGAGCAACAGAGAAATATGTGAAATACATACATAACACTTCCTACAACACAAGATATCAGGAAATAAACGGTACGATCAACGGTATCTGGATCATTTCATCATCTTTAGGAAATCACAACGGGTACCTTCCACAATGGGACGCAGACACGTTGGACATTTCCCAGGATTGAGGAAAATCACACATCATAAACAATTACTATCATTTGTTCTTACCCATTGGCTCCTTGATTACGCGATAATAATCAGGTGCGTCATGGGGATCCACTGGTTCAAGGAAAGGCCATGCCATTTTGTGAGTCTGTTGAAATGACAAGAAAAGATTGCACAGTTAATTTTAAAAATGAGTACCAGTAGTTTCCCAAACCAGGAAAGACGATATCGCTTGGATGTGAGTAAACTGATAGTTGTATGACCGGATGCTGATAAAGCCTTTGATAAGGTTGCCATTTTTGGCTTCGGCACTGTCATAATGAAACAAATTAAATAATAAATTAAGTTTTTTGGGTAAACTTCAAAAAGCATTTCTTTGAATCGATATCCAAGATATTTGAGAATACCACTCCAGGTCTTTTAAAAACAATAAGAGAAGACCATAAAAGATTAACTGAGTTACCTTTATCATTACGGGGTCGAGTAGGGGGGATAAAATTAATATACTACCTTGAACATTTAAATTTCATCCATTGCACCAAGTTTCCAGAACAACAGTTTATGGGAAATTTAAAGCATGTTTTATAATGACAATATAATAAAGGT